GCTTCACCACCGGAGAGAAAACCTTATTATAATCTATTCCTTCCTCCTGTGCATAGCCTTTCGCAACCAACCTAGCTTTGAACCTTAATGGAGTGCCCTCAATGTCCTCCTTCTTCATGTATACCCACTTGCAACCAATTGCCTTCCGCCCCTTTGGAAGCTCAATAAGCTCCCATGTATCGTTCTTATGAAAAGACTCCATCTCCTCCTGCATAGCTACCTGCCACGAATCAGCCTCCGAACTCTGCCCGGCCTCTCTGAATGTAGTAGGCACCATCTCATCGATACTCTCCACCGGAAGTGCATACGCAACTGTGTTGGCATACCGTGCTGGCATCTGTATGTTTCTCCTCTGTCTCCGAACCGCAATCGAATCCTGAACCTGAGCCGTCGGTCCCTGATCCTGCATATTAGTACCCGTATCCTCTGTGTCACCGTCGTGCTCGCCTGACGTCATCTCAGTCAGCACTCTTATGGATACTGTACCATCTGGACAATGTAGAGCTGCATCGATCTCCACCACCTGTGATATCTCTTCCGTCGGGTCGCTCTCCACCTGATGAGAGCTGGGAAGCTTCAAGATAGAAGCCTCATCAAACGTGATATCCCTACTCAGCACAATCTTCTTATCAACTGGATCCCAAAGCTTGTATCCCTTGACACCACGCTTGAATCCTACAAATATGGCCTTCCTAGCTCGAGGTTCCAATTTATCTGTTCTCACATAATAAAATACAGGGCACCTGAATACCTTGAGCTGGTCATAATCTCGTGCTGGTTCTCCCGACCACATCTCCATAGGGGTCTTCCCCTCAATCACAGATGAAGGCAACCTATTAATGAGGTGGCTCGCATATGTAAGTGCCTCGGCCCAAAAGATCTTCTCCAAATCACTCTGCGACAATAAAATCGGATCTTCTCCAGTAAAGACCGATTTAGCCTCTCTGTCACCCCATTCTGCTGCGGTGTATGACTAACCGTGAAGTGCCTCTCTATGCCCTCATCTCAACATAGATGCAAAAAGGGGTCTGAAGTATACTCTCCACCGTTGTTGGATCACAACATCTTGATCTTTCTCCCAGTCTGCAGTTCTAATCTCTTCTTCCACTCCACGAATATATCTAGGACTTCACTCTTCTTTATCATGGTATACACCCAACATCGTCTAGAATAGTCATCAACGAACGTGACAAACCAATGTCGACCACCAAGTGATACAGTCTTGGTGGGACCCCAAACGTCTGTGTGCACGTAGTTCAGGATGCCCCTCGTCTGATGAATGGCAGTCCCGAATTTTACTTTCGTCTTCTTGCTAAGAACACAGTGCTCACAGAACTCAATCTTCTCACTCTTGGCTCCCTTTAATAGCCCCTACTTGCATAATGTCTGCAGTGACTTTTCACCTGTGTGCTCTAACCTATAGTGCCAAATTCTGCACATGTCCACTTCTGAAATAGCCGAAGCAACCTGGCCAATCTCGGTGCTTCCCTTTAGATAATACAAATTCCAATTACGGACTCCCTTCATCACCACCAATGATCCCTTAGTAACCTTCTCTATAGTGTTTTCGAAAGTCACCTTGAATCCCTTCGCCTCCAAAGCTCCGACTGAGATAAGATTCTTCTTCAGCTGAGGAACGAATCTCACCTCCTTTAATTCACGGACTACTCCATCGTGCATCCGGATCCGCACAGTACCTATCCCACAAATACCATAGAATTGATCATTTCCCATGATAACAACTCCCCCATCGAGCTTCTCAAAAGATGCAAATCAATCTCGTCTAGGAGTCACATGATAGGTAGCACCAGAATCATGCATCCAATCTGACGCATCCACATGATTCATCTCCGGAGTAATCAGTAGAGAAAAGCACGAATCATCAGAATCATCGCCTTTTGCAATATTCACCTCATTGGCTTTTGGGCCCTTTTTCTTACCATTCTCTTTCTCCTTGAGCTTCGGGCAGTCTCTCTTCCAATGTCTCTGCTCCTTGCAGAATACACATTGGTTCTTTGCTAATTGGTGGTGACCTCTAGACTTTGACCTTCCTCTATTACCACCTTTTGGATATGGGCTTCTACCTCTCGTCGATAAGGCCTCGCCTGAAGTACTAGCGTGGGAAGTCTCATTATCCTTCCTCCTCAAATCGTAGTTCGTCAAAGCGTTAGTCACTTCACTATAGCTGATAGAAGATCTCCTGTTCAACAAAGTGAGCACGAATGTATCATACTCCTCATCCGGTAAGGAGCCCAACAAAATAATCTCCTTGTACTCATCCGATATCTTCTCATCAATATTCGTCAAGTCCGACAACAACTTAGAGTAGTTGTTCACATGAGCCGCTAGCGAGGTGTCTCTGGACATCTGAAATCTGAAGAGTCTTCGTAACAAGTGCAACCTGTTCTCAACACTCTTTGTGAGATACTTATTGTTGAGAATTTCCCACATCTTCATTGCAGACGTCACCCTAATCACATCATATTTCAGTTCATGTTCCAAACAGGACCTGATCACCCCACACGTGTTCCTATTCATCTTCTCCCATATCGCCTCATCATATTTAGGTGGCCTCTCGTGGATCATGATGGTCTCTTCCAAATTCTGAGCATTGAGCGTATCCTGTACGTCGCTCATCCACAAACCAAAGTTAATTTTGCCGTCATACTTCACCACACTAATCTTAGCATTCTGAAAACCAACTTGTATTGTACTCGCCATCTATTTGCTGCTTTCACCTTCTTCTCCCATTACAAATTAACTCTAAATTGTAGAGAAAGAATAAATTTGATAGAAATTAGGAACTATCCAACTGAACCCTATATCGGATTCCAAATAGATCTCCTATCCACACGAGGAAAGCAAAATCTCCAACGACAACTCCTAATGCTATTCCAAATAGATCTCCTATGACATCTGGTATGTATCATCAAAGACTGGGGACTCTTGGCAGTAGAAGCAAGTTTTAAAGGTTAGAGACTTTTTGATACAAAGATGGGGTTCTACTGACGCTTCTGTTCATAATCTCTCTCATTGTGTTGTGGGATGCAAATTTAAAATATCATCAGTCTATCATATGCTATATGATCAAAATATAGTTTGCTCTTGGTCTCCTCTGGTTTGGAGTCCTTTAACAGTGCCTAAACGAGGTTTTATCGAGTGGCTAGCGGCGAGGAAGCGTCTTTTCACTCAAGACAGACTTATGCGTATGGGGATCAGGAGCTCATATCGCTTTGCTTACAAGAGGAAGAAAGCCTCGAGCATTTATTTTTCCAATGTTCCTATTCTACTGAGACCATCTCCAGCAGGTAGGCAAATTTTCAACCCTTCTCTCCTGCCACATCACTTTATTCCCCCACCACATAATTCAATAACACTCATTTCCCTATCAAATAATTCTAGGGGCACACTCTCAACCACACTTTCAACCACACCCTCACACTCTCTATAGTGCTAGTGGGCCATGCATGATATTTTTTTAAAAATATCTTGCATGGCCCACTAGCATTATAGAGAGTGTTGGGATGTGGTTGGGAGTGTGGTTGAGGGTGTGCCCTTAGTGGGACCGAAAAACCAAACATACAAATTATTGAAAACATTCAAGAAAACACACACTAAATTGGTAAATCTAGTCGAAGGTTGTTCCAAATTTTTGTCAAATGTGCCTGACGAGATCCTTCTTCAACTGAATGTGTTGGGCCCTATCACGTAGTTCATATTGGAGGGAGCATAGCTGCTTCCAGGATATTGTTGATACCCATATGGCATATAAGGATTATTATACGGGTATTGCATGCCCATATTTGGAGGCATCATATACGGCATCTGAAAATTTGTCGGCATCCCCGTATTCTGAGTATTTTCTGGGCGTTGCATATTAGGATTTTGAGGATTAGGAAAATTGTAACCTGGGGGCAAATTGTAATTTTGTGAAGGATCCATGAAGGTTGCAAAAAAGGCTTGACAATGGAAGAAGAAAGTAGAGAGAAATGCAAAAAGGAAGAAATAAAGGGTGTAAAATCTTAAAAAAATTTTGGTGTCCAAATGACACAAATTTAGGCTCTATTTATAGACCTTGAAAAATTAGAAATAATGGTATAAAAAAAAATTTAATTCGAATTATTTATGCTCCAAATCTACAATTTAAATATTAGGTGAAAACAAAAAAGAGTTGGTCCAATGGGGAGAGGGCACGTTTCCATGTGCATGGCTGGTCAAAAATCGTGGGGTTGGTGGGGGCTGATGGGGCTGCGTGCTCCTCTCCCATTGGACCACTCTTCATTAATTTTTTATTTCTTTTTCTTATATAGGAGGCGGGCCCCACATAAAGTATATTTCATGCAATTTCACGGAAGGAAAATATTTCACCCCTTGGAAAGCTTTTGAAATTTCCCTTCCTATTTCCCTAGCTGCTGTATGGAAAAACCACCCTTTTCCCCTCCTATTGCACTTGGTCTGGACTACTATTTTAGCAAGGAACAAGTTGTCTTCGTATTCGTCTTCATGGTCAGAGGTTCTATATCGAAATTGCGCTCAATTGAGTGGGAAGTCAGTGAAGAGGAAGATCATCAGGTCCAGTATTGGTGCGGTCATATAACACTTATGGTGTCAAAGAAATTCAAGGATTTTTGCTCAGAAGTTCTCTACTACTCAAATCTCTGACTGCTCGAGTTTATAAAGCTAGGATACCTTATCATTGTATATATCAATATCTTTCATAGTTATAGCTTTTGAATTTCTTTAGCTCTTGTATTGCCTTGTTGGGTTATTTGTCCTGTACATATTTCAATTGGAAATGAAAATTTTATTCATTTACCAAAAATAATAATTTTGTATGCTAACGCATAATCTCTGACAAAGAATAGTCAGGAGCACATGCTCCTATAAAAACAAAAATTTCTATCATGTCATTCAACAACTGGGATGCATGCCTTGAATACCAGCAACTTTTCGTTAGCTTGATGTTAGCAGCAAATCAATTGATTTATCACAGCCAAAGAAGCAGGCAATATCCAAGCTATTCAAATTAGCCCCAGAACGTTCTCATAGCAAATCAACTGATTTACTTTCCTCCATAATTTGTGTTACCAAGAAACAACAAATATGACATATATCCATGCTCTATAGACAACCAACATACCCACACTAAGAGTTGCATACTTTTAGACTGAAAACACAGTGAATAAACCACAAGCCTGATGAGACAATGTTCAACATCGCGAAAAAGACCAAAATGAGATCCTAGATTTTCACAAATCCTACTTGGTCTCAGAACAAGTACTCACGAGCTCCTGGACAAACAATCTGTCATTTACTTGTGATAACCAGCAGGAGGGTACTCTCGAGGGGGATAAGCACCAGCCTGCGGGTATGCAGGCGGAGGATAGCCCTGAGCTTGGCCCGGTGGAGGATAACCATATGGCTGACCATACGCAGGTTGTGATGGATACCCAACTTGAGGAGGAATTGGCTGATCAATTCGAGACATTTGCTGGACAGGGGGCGCAGTCATCATTGATGGTGGCCCAAATTTTCCATCTCTCTTGTCCATTTCAATCTTGTGCTGCGTCTGCACATTCAAAAACAATTATGTTATATAAACAATTTAACTGGGTTAAGGATGGTACCAGGGTTTAGGTTGGGCACTGTTAGTGGTTACCTGCATGCATGCACAGACCCTGTAATGGTAATTCAAGTAGGTTAGAAGTCTCTAAAAATTTACAGGATTAGTAGTGAGCGGAAGATTGTACTTACGTGCAGTAGACGAGGTCAGATGCACAGTTGAGTATCTGTGAAGCTTCTGAAAGTTCATCACTACCAACAATCATTGCAACAATGGAGAATATACAGGCAAGTTGGCTCAAGCAAAACATGAAACCCTATAATTGAAAGGATACAAAATTATAGCATGTTATGGAGCCCACAAACATTGACAAACACGCGTATGCCAGAAATCACATACAATGATGCAGTTGTCACATTGAGTGGTCTGTATATTGAACTCGTCTTGCAGCATGAATCGGGTGGAGGCAACTGAATTTGAAAAGCAAAGGAAAACCTGGGAAAAAAACAATTAATAATAACATATTGCTAACTAGAATTTAATCTCTATGCAGATAAGAATTAACTGAAAAGGGCCAATTTATCCTCCATGAACTGTGAAGTCTCATCTAGAACGAGTTTCAACTGTTAGACACAACAGACTGATAATGATGCATTTGATAAGATGGCACAAAAAAAGCGTCAAAATCTACTTTGATCTTATCTTACTTCTACTTGCTGGGGTAAAAGTTAGACCAGGAGGAAACATACCCAGTATAGTTTCAAACTTTCTTGAAAAGCAGAAAACAATTTTAGATGGACCAACACACATGAAACTCAAGGAATAATAAATACTAATTTCATTTTCAACCTATAAGATATGTCTGGATAGTTAAATGATTGCAAAATAGAAAGTTTAAGGAGACGTAAAGAGATTGATGTTAACAGGGGTAGTAAAGTGATGATATTCCATTTTATGGGCAGCAGAAATCTCATCTTGACTCTACGCAACGTATGTAAACAATACTACCATAAACATGGTAATTGATTAACCCATAAGGTTGTTCTATAACCAAATGGACCTAGAACTACTAACAGATAATACCCCTCCAAATAGTTTGCCCCAGCACAAGGCGAATTAAGGAGGCAGCCTAGAAGTTATTGAGTCGATACTTTTCCCATCAAGTGTTATATCCTGGGCAATATTACAGGGAAACAGAAAAAAGGAACTGTTGGGAAACTAAGTGCACCAGCAGGAAGTCACAACATATAACCTGGGACCCTTTTCAGAAGGGAAAACATTTCAAATCGACAAAAGTCAATTATTTTCAACTGCAATTATTTTATTAGCCAAGGTAATAATAGCTTTAATGCAAATATAAACAAAAATATCAAACAGAAAGTTTAATGATTAGCCAAGGTAATAATAGCTTTAACTGCAATTATTTTATGGGCGCTTTATCACTTTATTAGTGACAGAGTTAGTCATCAGTTCTATGAAATAATTTTGATTTGGCTTTAGATAGTAAAGGTTCAGCTGATCCTCAAAGTAACATGAGCATAAAGGCAAGCATTTTTTTGCAAGACTTGTACCACAATCTTGCTAGATGGTTATGATATGATGTTAAGTGACTTAATTCAGAGAGAGGCAGTCAGGTTTTATTTTTAAACTTATTTTCACTTTGGTACCCCCATACCCGAAGCTTACCATTTTTCACTTTGACACCCAAAGTAATTTTTTTAACACTTTAGTATCCCAAAGTTCTAATTCCATTTCACATTAATGCCATCACCCAGATTTTCATTAGATTCTGTTAAATTTGCAAAACATTTACGTCCAGTTTACCCAGTTGCTAAAGATCCAAACAACAAAATGTTTCCAATAGTAGTGGACTAAAAAAAAGTATAGTTTGGGCTACCAGAGTGAAAATAAACCTTATTTTTATGAAAAAAATAGACTAAACAACATAATCTTTCAATGTGGAGCAGTGTTATCAATGCGCGACATGTAATGCAGGGCGCAATTTCTCTTTATGAGTATATGCGGAAAGGCGCAATGCAATGTACATACACGAGTGAAGTGAGATGCACACCTTACACATGATTTTTCAAGATAGATAATCAAGCACGGAAAAACATTTTTATGAATTTTCACAAAATATCTACTACCAAATCACAAAATAAGGTATTAATTCATAATGCTAACATACTCAACTTAGTAGCAAACTTAATAGTTTTCCAAATCAAAAGTCAAATCAAGACTAATATCGAAGGAAAAAATAACTAGTAAACGAGAACAAGTTAGGGTCCTTAACAGGGCTACTAAAGGGACCCAGTAGTTTATTTTTCTTTTTGTGATATGGGTTATCATCTATAAAATGTTAATGAAGAAAAATATACAAGGTTATGCCTGGCATGGGCCCCGTGCGAGCAGGGCGCTTGCAAGGCACTGCTGCATCAAATGCAGGGCACATTGCAAGGCGCATGAGGTGCAATGAGGCGCGCGCCTTCGATGGAAATTCTCTTTTCTAACTTTCATACATATTAACTACTCTAACACTCTTCAACTGGTGTGGCTATTTTTTATTTTTTATTTTTTTGGGATGGGGGTGTTTTTGTGTGTGTGTAAGTACAACAAATATACTTGCTCTTGACTTTCACAAACCGTTGGTAGTTCATTGGCTACGTACTTGGCTCTCTTGTGAAGACAAGATTGCTAACAATGAATATGGCATCCTGATTGTCACAGTGCATAAGTATCGAGATAGCGTTTTGCGCATTTGCACTCCAAATTTTTCTGACAAGGTTTTTAGCCACAAAACCTAATAAGCTGTATGAGTCGTGGCGCCATACTCTGCCTCTGCACTAGGTCATGCTACTATAGTTTGTTTCTACTTTTCAAAGTAAACAGATTGACACTGACACAAGTAAAATAGCAAGTGAACTTTCAATGACTTCCAGACCAATCATAGTTGGCTTAAAGAAGACCAGTATCTAGATTTCCATGTCCGTTGTACACTAGTCCCTTTTCCAAGAGGGTCTTCACAAAATGCAAAAGCATGAGAGCAGTCGCCTCAAACACTTATTGGGTTGCTCCATTAACTAACTAACCAACTCAACAGCAAAAAGTGTAGTGGAAAGTCAACTTTCAATCTTGTCACCAATATAGGGATTTGTCCTCTATGGTTTCACCATTGTGAAACCTTAAGTCAGATTATGTCTACAGACTATCGCTGGGTCTCATGTCAAGTAAGCCATTATTATATGTTTCCACATGAAACTAGGAACACAAGAACTGAAAAGGGCAACCAAAGGGGAAAAGTTTTTGAAACTATGTGGGTCTTCATAAGAACCAATTTTCCCTTATTTTAATCATTCTTCATTTTTCTGACACATTATTAATTTTGCAACTCTGGGAAGGATGCTCAAACAGCTCCACACACATGAACAAGAAAAGGTATTTCTCTCTATAAAAAAATAAATAAGCAAAACAACAAAAAGGCTGTTATTGGGTATCAATTTAGCATTTTGCTTGTCTCAAAAAGAAAGGATTACAGACTCATCCGCCATTAATTTCATCATATTGTCAGGTGCTATTTCATCATATTGTCAAGTGCTATAACCATCAGATGATAAACTAGTAATAGGAATGTGGTAAAGAGTTCATGAGAAAAAGATTGAACCTCAGTCGCAAGGCAAAATTCTGGGCACCGGCTTTCCCCACACCTGCCACTACATGGCATATAACCAGCACAGCAGACGTACCTGTACAAAAGAAATACATTAGCTAGAGAACAGTAAAAGGAGCAAAATATATGTTCTTCCAACTCAAAGAGTACACTAAAATTACCTCGACATGTCATTATAAAGAGCTCTTTTACGAAGCATGTAGGATACACAGGGCCCACTACATGGATTAAAGTGGATTAGAGGAAATATCAACATAAAAGACATCATTTTCAAATCTTATGCATATGGCGAAACTAAATAAAATTATAAAATTTTGCATGGTTTCCAAAACACCCTACATCATATATAGGCCTAACAAGTAAAGCAAAAATACAGTGCTAAAAGCCACATTCAAAAGACATTGGATTAATTGTACACATTCAGTTCAAAACAAATATTTAAGAATATCAATGTATATCCACTTTTATTCTAAATTATAACGGGCATCAACAGTTTATTCAATACAAGAGTGATGGACCAAAAATTACCAAAAAATAGATCTGTCCATATGTGAAGGATCATAGCACTTCTATATAATACACTTTTAGTTAATATAAACACACTAAAATGTGAGGTGTTAATGCACATAAAGGAAATGCTCTAGTACTTCATATTAAAATTTCTCACCTTAAACATATCTTCAAAGAAAAGATGAATTAATCACTTGCTCAAACTTACATGAACAAAACATCAAAGCATTGCGAGTGAATTACAAAGCAGCTTAATTATAATAGTCCTAACATAAATTTTAGAAGATATGAAATTAGACCACCAAAAGCCAGAAGATTAGTAGACTTGAGCTGACTATGTAAAGGAAAATGCAAGAGATTTCTACCGCTTCAATTATTCTCCATTAAGAATCCTATATCAGCATAGGAAGCTGGCAAACTGGATTTGATACATTATTTTATTAAGGCCTAGGTTGATATATGATCTATCACCTATCTCACTAGCAATCAGTCAGCCTGGACTTCACTGGATTAGCCGGAAGAAATAATTGGCTTACAAGGATAACAGAAAGATATGTTTGCAGTTACATCATTAAGAAAGGCTTTAGCAATTTAACTTCGGATTTTCTTCTTTCCTTGGCTTTCTCTTGAGATTAAAAACAGATCCCAGTATGAATGAGAACATCATTATTAACTGGCCTCACAAATAACAATGCCTAGAAGTGTCCATAGGCTCCATACTATTAGAAGTGGGGCTAGGCTCAAAATAATTAATCATGTCAGATATTTTCTCTTCTTTATTATAAAGTTTGAATATATACATAGGTAAAGTAGAGATTCCAGGAATAATCACTATAAATCATTCAGATGCAAAAATATGGCCTCATTTAATTAGTAGAGTAGCAGGTTCTTTTTCTTCAAATTTCTCATTTACAAGTAACTCCATAAAAGAAAGAAAGATTGCACAAAATCCAAGAAAGGAGATAGACCTAAGACCTTTATCTAGGACCACAACAGCATTACCATGACACTTCATTTTTAACCAAAAAATAAAAATAAAAATAAATTGTGTCGGGCATTGGACACAACAGTTGGATAGTCGTCTCCTATGACTCGGACACTTCTCACACGATAATAAGAAGAAATTAGGATACTTTTGTATCTAAAAAAAACTCAAAATTAGGGACCTACAAAGATATATATGATAGAAAAGTATTAATAAATGATATTATATTCAGTTCACCCACATCCTTTACATGGCTATCTTAAACAATGTCAATGTCATGAGATATATAAGCAAATATTGCTATGTAGAGCTTGTTGCTTCTCCAAGTATTTAGGAATAACAATACATACAAGTATATGTAATATCCATGACTTGTATCGTCCTATCTTAAGTCTGTCGTAATGGACATTGTAGAACAATAAAACACTTGACCTTCTTGTCCCATCTCCATTTAGAACTGGTTCCAACAATTTACATTGAAAAAAGTTATTTTCAATGCTCTTATCCTGAAATAACATTGTTGACAGTCACGAGTCTAGAGTCCATACTAATTGTAATGGACCACTTCAAGAAAGTTTCTTGCTTTTGTTCATTGTCTCCCAAAGAATAAATGGGAGTGGTTTTAACTTTTGACTTTTTAAGCGATGTATTTGCTGATTCAGGTATTTATCAATGTACAAGCTTTAATGATACTGTTAATCAAACTTTTCTAACCAATGTATGCAATTCCAAACATACAACTCAATTTCACTACTGATATGTTCTAAATGGGTCCAACAGTTTACACATCAAATTTGCACATGATTGATGAGCTCGAACTTGATGATATAGTAATTGGGGTGCAAACAATTTGGATACAGCTCCGATATGATATTTATCACATTCATATTCACTTTCCATTCACAGATACAGATATGGACATGCCTCAGTAAGGAAAACTCATATCCAAATCGGCTAAAATCAGATACATATACGAATATACATGCGGATACAAAAGGGATATGAGAAAAACGAAATAACATCG